CGGGGTGGATAAAAACTAACATCACTGCGTTGAATTCCACAGTGCTTAAGCCGTGTTTCCGAACTGGTTCGCCGTCATGAGAACGTGGAATTTCCACCACTTCGCAGTTCTGGGGTGACGGATGCACGCGCCGCCACGTGGTGGTATCCGCGTGGGGTCGCGGGGGTCACGGGACATTGCGGCAGTGTCGTGGGGGCTGGTCCATCGGAGGGGGCCCTTAACAGAAACCCCCCCCCCCCATCTGTCACCCACTTCAATTCGTAAGATCCGAGTGAGATGGCAGAAGAGGAGATACAAACGAGAAGAGATAGAGACGTGGTGAGACAAATGTGGACACGAGAGACAGCTGTTCGTGAGATGAGAGACGAAGATAGGAGACACGGGGGAGGGAAGTAAAAAGAAAAATAAATTGAAATAACTAAATTAATCACGTTTCAGAAGCAACACAAACCTCCGTCATCGGGTGGGACAACCACAGCTAGAAACAAAGTGACTGTCCCACCTGATGACAGAAGCTTCTTCTTGGTTATTTCGGTAAAGTCACGTAGAAGGGAAATAATAAAACTAATAAAATACAATTCTCACGTTTCGGCCACAACGCAAGCAGCCGTCCTCAGCTGAAGAACAGGGCTGTCGGAAAGACAGCGTCTGAATGAGAATTGTATTTAATGTTTTATTTTTATTATTTTATTATTTCCCTTCTACGTGACTTTACCGAAAGAACCAAGAAGATGAATCCCTGCAGTCACGAAAGCTTTAAGATGGAAGCTTGTGTTGCTTCCGAAACGTCGTGATTTAATTCAGTTTCTATTTTTTATTTTCACCTACGTGACTTTACCGAAAGAACCAAAGAGTATGGATCCTTGCAGTCACAAAACTTCAAATCTAGAGAGTTGTAGTCGAGATAGATCGTGTCTGAATTAGAGCCGACATATTTGACGTTTCGGGCAATGGCCCTTCATAACATTTCACAGAAGGGCCATTGCCTAAAACGTCGTTTGTTTTTTCAGGGCAGTGTTACTGACGAATGTGTTGAGTATCTCTGTTGTGATTGTACACCACTGCCAACGCAGCAGCAAATAAAACAAAAACGTAAATTTCGATTTAAAGCTTTCGTGACTGCAGGGATTCATCTTCTTGGTTCTTTCGGTAAAGTCACGTAGAACAGACCTGTTCTCCACCTGAGGACGGCTACTTGCGTTGTGGCCGAAACGTCGTGAGAATTATTTTATTGTTTTATTTTTATTATTTTATTATTTCAATTCTATGTGACTTTACCGAAAGAACCAGGAAGATAAAACAAAAACGTGTTTTTATTTGACCAGGGAAGGCCCCACTGAGCCAAATGGCTCTTTCAGAAGCCACCTGCCACAGATGAGCGCTCATCGTCATCGCGCGGTGATAGTGCAGCAGCAGCTAACTACTCCAGATGCATTATTCTGAATGTGGAGGGGAAAACTGCGAGGACCCGGAGACTAATCCACGCGACCACAGGGAGAGAGAGACACGCAAACTCCAAATATACAGCAGCAGGTGTCAGGGTCGGGATTGAACCCACGACCTCCTGCATACCAGGCGAGAGAGTTAACATCTCATAGCCACCGTGATGAGACACGCAAACTCCAAATATACAGCAGGCGTCAGGGTCAGGATCGAACTCACGACCTCCTGCATACCAGGCGACGGAGTTAACATCTCCTAGCCACCGTGATGATGATGAGACACGCAAACCTCCAAATATACAGCAGGCGTCAGGGTCAGGATCGAACCCACGACCTCCTGCATACCAGGCGACGGAGTGTTAACATCTCCTAGCCACCGTGATGATGATGAGAGAGACACGCAAACTCCAAATATACAGCGCAGGCGTCAGGATTGAACCCACGACCTCTGCATACCAAGCGAGGGAGTTAACATCTCGCCACTTATGGCGCTCTATATATATTTTTACTCTCCATAAATCCGGGGTCCCCCCTTGAGCTCTCGCTTTTGTTTGTGCCAGCAACGCCGCCAACGATCGGTCGGCGATCCGAGCCGGGTGGCTCTTCCTGCTGATGGGTGGCAGTGGGGAGAGGGCTGGGCTCTAGACCTCCTCCCTCCCCCCACCACCCGGCCACTGCACCCCGTGGCGCGCGTTATCTGTGAGATTGGCAGCCAAGGTGATGTTGTGCCAACAGCTGGAGACACCAACAAACAGCACAGACTCGCTCGACAATCTCCGAGCAATCTCGCTTACCAGACACTGGACCAATACTCACCAAACGCTCACCAACTCCGAGCACTCTCGCTTAGCAGACACTGACCAATACTCACCAAACGCTCACCAATCTCCGAGCACTCTCGCTTAGCAGACACTGACCAATATCCACCAAACGCTCACCAATCTCCAACCACGCCCACTTACCAGACACTGACCAACTCACCAAACGCCTCACCAATCTCCGAGCACTCTCGCTTAGCAGACACGGACCACTCCTCCTCAAGGGACTCTCCACTCCTCAGAGACAATCCCAATCACTCCCAGTCACACCACAGTCCAACTCTCACTCTCCGTTCACACCATTGCGTATTCATCTTCATATTATTTTAAGCACAGTTGCCAAGCACAGGCCCGAACACCCAAAAAGTCAAGCGAACAACAGCACTGTCAAAGTTGTAACAGACAAGTGTAACACGTGGTGTGAGACAAAGCAATGCCATCCGGCTGAGGGTGAACTATAGTAAAGAGGAAATTTCGATTTAAAGTTTTCGTGACTGCAGGGATTCATCTTCTGGTTCTTTCGGTAAGTCACGTAGAAGGAATTAATAAAATAATAAAAATAAAACGTAATAAATAATTCTCACGACGTTTCGGCCACAACGCAAGCAGCCGTCCTCAGGTGAAGACCAGGTCTCTCTCGGGGAGACAGCGTCTGAATGACGTCTGAATGGACACTGTCTCCCCGACAGACCTGGTCTTCACCTGAGGACGGCTGCTTGCGTTGTGGCCGAAACGTCGTGAGAAATTAATTTTATTATGTTTATTTTTATTATTTTATTACTTCCCTTCTACGTGACTTTACCGAAAGAACAGAAGATATAGTAAAGGGGTTCAGGGCGTCAAACGGCGTAGAGGCCGGCCGGCAGCTGACCGAGTGAACCGGTGAGGCTGGCGGAGCGGCGCTGCTGCTGCTGCTGCTGTGCAGGAGGAGGAAGAGAAACCGCTCACAGCCCGTGGACCGATGTGGGTTTTTATTTTTTTTTTTTCACCGGATCGGCGATCGCGGCCTCAACGCAGCCACACGCGTTTCACGCCAACACCGCCTCGAGCCCTCGGCCCACATCCGGCCTTCGCGGCCACACACTCACCCCCCACCCCAACCTCCCCCCCCCCTCGTCCTCCTGACCCCCACGCTGCCCAGCGTGGTTCGCACGGAGGGCGAGCGAGGCGAGCGACGCCATCGGCTCTTCCTGCGCCGTGCAGTTCGTCCACCGCGACGTCAACGTCACGCGTGCCGGCGAGTCTCTTCATTCCTTCAGTTGTCGAAGAAGCTCCACCCCACCACCCCGCCCTCACACAGTGCGTGGACCGAAACGTCGGACATTGTGCCGAACTTGTACGCCGCTGCGGCACGATGCGAGAGAAGAGCGGCAAAGCGAGAGTTGCGCGAAAACGCGCGGAGCAGCGTGGCCGCGATCGTAGGATCCGACGCCGAGGGCGTGGCGTTGATCAGAGCCGGACCTCGCACGGTCGGCGCGGGGGTCGCGCCCCCCCCCCTCCCCAACAGGATTTGGTCAGGAGGGTTTGGCCCGGGCGAGAGGGGCCACCACAATTAAACTAACAGACAACACGTAGCCCTCTGCCAACTGTTTCCACCACCGGCTGATTGAGCGTTCCGCTACCTGTGGGGAGTTGGGGGGGGGGGGGGGGAGGCTTCCTGTCACTCGTGAGGAGGGTAAACAGGACACGATTAAAAACGGGGAACAGGATTCAAACTCGGTGCAGCGCGACGCACGGGGTTGTAGGAGGGTGGGTTACGCATCTACGACGACGACGCCGGCAGCCGGACAGGTGACCACGATGCGCACACACCGCGCGCACGCCACACCTACACACGGACGCGCGCGCCTACAACGAGCACACACACGCGCGCACGCTTTGTTTCGCTACCATTTGCGTTTTCGTTACAGCACGAGCAGCGTCTCCTGCGGCAAGGCGAACGTGGCCAGCGGGACGTGGAACGACGAGCAGCGCAGAGAGGACAACCGCGGCGGCGGCGGCGACGGGGGAGACGGCTGAGCGCCAATATGGGGAGCAAACTAGCTAATCATTAACCCTGCTCCTACGACTACCACTAGCCAATCACAGTCCTGTTCCTAGAACTACGGCGAGCCAATCACTCGCCCTCCTCCTAAAACTAACACTAACTAATCACTCGCCCTGCTCCTATCAATAGCCATTCACAAGCCCTGCTCCCATCACGAGCCATTCACAAGCCCTGCTCCCATCACGAGCCAATCATTCGCCATACTCCCATCACGAGTCAATCACAAGCCCTGCTCCCATCACGAGCCAATCACAAGCCATACTCTCAACCACTAGCCAATCAGACCGTTACCTCTACTCCTACACCTAGCACGAACCACAGCAGCCAATCAGAAAGCTAGCCTACCCTTACACCATGAGCCAATGAAACAACTAGCACCACCACCCCAACACTAACGCCACATTACCCAACGAGACCACGAGCGTCGACCCCCTTCACCTCCGTCGCCTTCACCGCCCCCCCCCCCTCCCGCTGGCACGTCGTGCCCAAGCGCGGCCGTCCTTGCGCCCACACCAAGACCCCTGCCGCCAACGGCCCTCCCGCACGAGCCAAATTCTCTCTATGTACAGTGCATCGACAGCGCCTGGCGCGACGATCCGCGGCGCCAACATAAAATATTGAGGGAGGGGAGCGGGCGGGAGTGAAATAATAACGTGGATTTAGGGGGCGGGGGGGGGGTCATAGGGAAGCGGTGGTGGGGAGAAGGGGGGGGGGGTCGCTAATCTGTCTTCTTGTCCTCGGGGGTCTTGGCAGATGCGTCGTCGCCCCCCCCATCGGCGGGGTCGGGCGGGGCGGCCAGGGCGGGGGTGGAGGAGGACGGGGCGTCGTCGCCCGCCCCCCCCGCCACCACGGGGTTCCCCCGCTCGTCTAACCCGCTGGTGCCGAACTCGTTGGTGCGCCGCGGGTCGACACGGTAGATCCAGCGTTGGTACAGGTAGATGAAGAACACCACGTCTGCGGGCACGTGGGGGGGGGGGGGGGGGCACGGGGACCGCGGGGGAACGGTCACGGCAACGTCTCCTTTCCCGCCGGCACCGTCCGTGCTGCGCTGGCGCACTGCCGCCCCGAGCCGGCCCGGCCTGGCTCGCTCGCGAGTTTGTGACCCCCCCACACAACTGCTCAGCACGGCTCAAAGGGCCAAAATATGAAATCGGCCAGCAGCACCAAACAGCACCCAGTGTCAAGGTTCGGATAGCAGTGTGGCCAATATGAGCAAGGTAATTGTTGTTGTTGTTGTTTAAAAATAACAATAGGCGTTTACCCTTTCGGTCAATAAAGCAGGAGTTGTGTTAAGATGTTCAAACGGCGAATAGATATTGTTTGCATGCTCACCGCACGTACTGTGTGTGTGGCTTGATTCCTTGCAAAAGGTATCTATTTGGTCAGTTTAACACGGAGTCTTCGCGACCAATATCATCCGTAATGCAGGATTGTTTTGGTTCGATCGCGTAAATATATGTGTCGTTAAACCTGTTAACGTGACAAACCGGTGGCGGGATTAACGACACATTTATATATTTACGCGATGTAACCCAAAAACTGTATTACGTTATCTATTTGGCGTTTGAACATCTAATCACAACTCCTAATTTATTGCCAGAAATGGGTAAAACCTATTCTTATTTTTTTACTTTTGATACTGGCAAAAAAGGTCCCATGATAGTATCATTGTTGTCGTCACGAGTGGCGGCCGTGGATGCGTGCCCTGGGAACTCACCGTCACGCAGGCAGCCTATTCTGTACATCATGGGCATCTTGATGACGAAGGCGAAGAGGTCGTCGATGAAGGTGTTGAGCGCCTTGTAGGTGAGCATGCGCCACGGCAGGTGAGCCACCGACTTGAGCTTGTAGTTGATGAACAGCTGCGGGGTCATCGTGATGAACCCTGGGGGAGACGGGGGGGGGGGTCGTTATGGAGGTGCGGCACCGAGGGTGTCCCGGGGACAGTGGGCCGGGCGAGACGGGATGGGGGGGGGGCAGGAGGGGAGCGCCGGTTCAGTGGCGCTGTGGTACTTAATTTAAAAAGCGGACTGCGACAGAATCACCGGCCTTGCTGATATTATATTCTTAGGTTTTTTCGGTCAAGTCAAGTAGGTAAAAAATTATAAAAGTAAAATAAAATAAAAAATCACGACGTTTCAGAGGCAACACAAGCTTCCGTCTTCAGGTGGAACCGTCACAGCACAATAGCTGTATCAAGTGTCACAGCACGATAGCTGTATCAAGTGTATCACTTGATACAGCTATCGTGCTGTGACGATTCCACCTGAAGACGGAAGCTTGTGTTGCCTCCGAAACGTCGTGATTTTTAATTTTATTTTTATTTTACTTTTATTAATTTTAATTTTTTACCTACGTGACTTTACCGAAAAAACCTAAGAATATGAATCCTTGCAGTCACGAAAGCTTCAAATCTAGAATTTCTGATATTAGCCAATCAAACGAAGGGGCGCGTGTCACATCATGACACGATCCATGAATCGCCGACGTTTGCTGATAATAGCCAATCAAATGAAGGGGGGCGTGTCACACCATGACACGATCGACGGATCGATTGGCAAATGAATCGACAATAGCGATTAGCCTGAAAAATATGATCAACCCGGTATTTCTGATGTTTGTTTATTATGGATCGACTGAGCGGGAATCGATACAGTGAATCTCGATTAACGATCAACAGTGACCGTATACGGGCAAAGACATGCCCCAAGCCACAGCCATTTTCTTACACATATGGGGGGCAAATCTCTCATCGGTTATTTTGCTCAGGTGTACGATTTTATATTGCTCTATTACAGCGCCGCTGGCTTCACCGGGCGGGAGGCGACAAGAGACGGTGTTCCGCTGTACGGGGTCGAGTCCTCGCTTACACGCTACAATGCATCTTCGCTAAAAGGCGGCTCTCCCCTATCGAGGGAATCGCTTTTCGCTCAACGCGAAACGTGGTATCTGAGCGGTCGACAACGAACTACTTTCTTGAGCTACGGTACACAGAAAGATACGGTACACTAAAAGATACGGTACGCGGCGCCGAACCCTCGTCTCGGCCACTTCGTCCCGCCGTGGGTTGACCGCAGGCTTAGAGCGCAAATGCGATACAAATTTTACCCCAGTAAACAAAGTGACAAGCATCACTCTGCTAAGAATTCATTCAAAACCCTCGCAAGGCGCCCCCGCAAGAGCGGACATCACGGAACCACTTCCGAGATCGTGTAAACCTAACGTTAATCTCACAAGAGCTGGAATGTGGACGGGTTAAGTGCCGTACTGAATTGAACACGATGGGATTCCACATTGTACGGTTATTGGTGACGGGGCTTGGCACATCAACTCGCTGTACTTGAGAACCCGGTTTAATCGCAGGTGGCAGAAACCTGGATTCGAACCCAGGGTCTCGGCGGTGCCGGCTCAGCACAAAGTCACGGAGACCACCTGGGTGTAAGTGTCCCGCACGCACGCACGCACGCAGACGCACGCACGCAGACGCACGCACCGAAGGTGAGCAGGAATCCGTAGAGCATGCTGAGCACCCAGGAGTACCAGCTCTTGTGCTCTTGGTACACGAGGCTGTAGACCGCGTAGCAGCCAAGCAGCGGGAACAGCGCCCACGACAGGTAGCGGAACGCCATCTGCACCCGCACGCATGCGCACACGGAAATGCGGCGATGAAATCAGCGCGTGCACGCGTGCGTATGCACGTATGTTGGAACTTCTTTCGCCCCGTACGTAGCCAGCCATGCGAATCGGTGGTGCAGGAACCAGGGGAGGGAGGCCTTCAAGCGGCAGCGGACAGATCACGGCCAAACGACGATGTGACCTTTTTTGTCACTATCAAAGTATGAAAAAATTAGAAGAAATTTTTACCCTTTCTGGCAATAAAACAGGTGTTAAGGGAATTGGTTTTTTACCCTTTTATATGGCAACAAAACTGACACCTTTTTTACGAGGAGTCATGTTTGCATAGACCACAATACCTGCAGTCATAATGCAAACAAAAACCATAACTCTGATAATGTATGCACTGTCCTTGAAGTTGATTGGTCCACACCCGAGACAGCTTTCCTTAGAGCCTAGTTATGTTTTTTGCTTGCATACATTATCAAAGTTTTGTTGTTTGTTTGCATTATGACTGCAGGTATTGTGGTCTATGCAAACATGACTCCTTGTAAAAAAAAAGGTGTAAGTTTTGTTGCCAGATAAAAGGGTAAAAAACCAATTATCATATTTTTTACTGGCAAATGAGGTTACAATTAGGTGTTAAGGTGTTCAAACAGCACAAGTGCCACGTGTGGTTAATGCAAACTTGATTCCTTGCAAAAGCTTTCTATTTGGTGTTTGAACATCTTCACACCTGCCGTTTGATTCCCAGGAAGGGTAAAAACCTCTTCTGATTTGTTTCAGACCAAGCAGTGGCGTGGACGCTCGCCGGCACTCACGTCGTCGTAGTCCTTGGTGGACGACTTCATGTAGGTGGACTTGTTCTCAAAGCGCACACGCGGGATGATACCCAGCAGCTTGTTCTCGCGATCCACCTGCGGGTCGAGAGGGGGGGTTAGCCTCCTCCGTCCGTCACCCCTGGCGGGCGCCGGCCCGGCCAGCGGAGGGGGGCGGGTGAGTGGGGGTTGTGGGGGTTGTGCGGGGGGGGGCGAGCTCTCACCTTGATGTTCATGACCTTGGTGACCTTCCAGAGGTCGATGAGGAGCCCCACGAAGACGCTGATCTGCACCACGAAGTTGGTCTCGTTATCCAGGATGTAGAGCAGCACGACAGCCGACTGGAACACGCCGAAGATCACCGAGCGCACCGATAGGCCCTCCAGGGACTGCCGGCTGTTCCAGAACTGGATGTCTGTTGTGAGCACGTGAAGTGAGTGTCGCACACGCACGCACAGACACACACACTCCGATCACCCTCGCAGCAGCGGCAGCAACAGCAGCAGCGGCGGCTTCTGGCTGGCCGTCGAACAAAGACGGCTACCGCGTCGGCGCGCTTTCAGATGCGCCACTGCGGCCGTCTGGAACGCGCTTCCTTCCGATATAAGGAAGCCACTGTGGAGCTATGCACTTATAAATCATCATATAGATTGCAAACGTATTTCGTTAGAACTTATTTTTGTGTGGAGTTTGTGGTTGTTCCCCCACACTAAAGATTATCACGGTTGGCTACGTACGGTGCGAAAGAAGTTCAACATACATATATACATCAGACTTTAGGGGCAAGTGCTGTTAGCGAGCACCTATGAAGGCCAGAACTCCCAACAAAGGGGGCTGGTAACCAGCACCACGCTCGACCGCCTTTGTCTCCCCGGTACTCGAGTAATAATGCCGAGCCGGCATGTTATGGGAGGGGAGACACAAGGAGAGAGATATGGAGAGGAGAGAGAGGCGAGAAGACAGAGAGGATGGAGAGATCAGAGAGATAAGAGCTCTAAGAAAGAGAGAGGGAGAGATGAGAGAGATATAAGAGAGAGAGGGAGGAGGGAGAGAGACAAGAGATGGAAGAGGGAGAGATAAGAGAGAGAGAGAAAGAGGGAGAGATGAGAGATATGAGAGAGATAAGAGAGAGAGAGGAGGGAGATATAAGCGAGGGAGAGATAAGCGAGAGAGGAGGGAGAGATAAGAGCTACAAGAGAGAGCCGCACCGTTCTTGAAGGCGAGGAACTCGAAGATGCTGTGCACGATGGAGACGACGATGGTGATGCCCAGGAGGTAGGGGTTTGTCTCCAGCAGCGCCACCTGTAGCCACGGCAACGCAACGCGTGGGGTACAGCAGCAGCAGCAACCACAACAACCACAACAACAAAAACAGCGACTGCATCAACAACCACAGCGACAGCAGCAACAATGACCACAGCAGCAACAAAAATAGCAGCAACAATAACCGCAGCAGCAACAACAGCAGCAGCAGCACAGATAGCAACCACATCAACAACGATAACATCGGCAACAACCACAGCAACAAAAATAGGAGCAACAAAAATAACAGCAACATTCACAACCGCAACAACAACAACCACAGTAGCAGCAACATCAAAAACAGCAACCACAGCAGCAACAATAAAAGCAACAGCAGTAGCAGCAATAACCGCAGCAGCAGCAACATGTGAAGACCTCGAGGCTATGCCACCACAAGCTGCTGTCACTTCCTTCCTGCTGCCAGATTCTTCGGCTCCCGCACAGCTGAAACCCAGCCCAGATTTGCTTTCAGCGTTTTATCAGCAGCACCGCTTTTTCTTTGGGTCATCCCCTCGTTACACAATCGATGATGCAGAGTGGTGGCGAGGATTGCAGCAAGTGGTTACCATGGTTATTATGGCAACGGTGATGATGGTGATGATGAGAGTGGGTGGAGATGATTATAAAGGCGATGAGAATGGGTAGTGATGATAGCAGTGATGATGATGAGAGTAGGAATGATGGTGATGGCAGTGAATAAGGGGACGATAACAGGGAGTGGTGGGTGGAGATGATCGTGATGATGACGATGATGACAGTGGGTGGTGACGACGATGATAGTGATGATTGAGTGGGTGGAGAAGATGGTCATGATGAAGGTGATGATGAGTGTGGGTAGTGATGATGGCAATGATGATGACAGTGAACGATGACGATGACGAGTGGGTCAAGGCGATGACGACGATTGTTTGCCCGGGACGGCATCGCGACGCCGACAGTCGGTGACGCCCCCCACCCCCACCGCACCTTCACGGAGTCCTGCTCCTCGTCGGACTGGTCGTAGATGTCGTCTCCGAGGATGTTCCAGGCGGAGCGCGTCGACTGAGCCGCGTACATCTGCCAGCGCCAGAGCGAGAGCGGCGAGAACGTGACGTGCAGCGGCAGGCTGCGCAACGAGCTGTTGATGGGGTAGAAGTCCTTCTGCAGGTTCCAGTAGTCGTTGAAGAAAACCACGGGGAAGTAATCGCCGCTCACCGCGTCGAACTTGACGTCTGGGGTGCGGGGGGGACACGGGACGAGACGGGGACAAGAGGTGAGACGGGGACACGGGACGAGACGGGGACACGGGATGAGACGGAGACACGAGGTGGGAGACGGAGACACGAGACGAGACGGAGACACGGGACAAGACGGGGGGACATGAGGTGAGAGACGGGAGCACGAGGTGGAAGGACGGGGGACACGGGATAGAAGACGGACGTGGAACTAGATTAGGTGAAGCGAAGGACACACGTGTCTCATGCTCCCATGTGTTATGTAACCACAAGCACCATGTCCTATGGTGTCACATATCCCTGCATGCCCGCACAGGTCTCGTATCTCCACTCGTCTCGTGTCCCGACTGATCTCCCGTCTCCTTCCCCCCATGTGCCTCCATGCCTCCCCGGCGCGTCTTCCCCGCGCGGTCTCCCGGTGTTGGCGGTGCGGACGGCCGTCGCAGCTCACACTGGTCGAGCGGGGGTGGCACCGATCCCCTTGACCCAGGACGTGTGGTCGTCCACGATGTTGATGGTGACCGTTCGGGTGCCAGTGCGACAGGATCTCCACCGGCCCATAGTCCTCCGCTCGCTACAGTAGCAGCAACAGCAGCAAGTGGCAGCAGCAAAGGAGCAGCAGCAATAGTAGCAGCGACAGCAGCAGCAGTGGCGGTAGCAGCAGCAACAACATAAGCAACAGCATAACCAACATCATCATCACGATCATTGCCATCGTCAACAACATCTCTCATCAGCAGTTTTAGCGGCACGACCACGAGCTGCAGCAGCAGCTGCAGTGGCGGCAGAATGATTTAACCCGGTCACCAATGACTGCACAAAAGAACCCATGAGGCTACTTGTGGTTCTGCACTAAGTTGGCTTGACTCCAGCTCTGCAGGGTCCACAGTGAGGGTGCCACTGCAGCTGCCCATTCACTATTTTAAAAGGGGCAACACTCGGTGGTTATGCTGCGCCGTGCCGGGCTGCTCGCGCCTTGCATCAAGAAGGTGCTGGGTAGAGACCGACCGAAATTTGGTTTCGGTTTCGGCGCCAAAAGGTGGCAAATGGCCTCTTTCGGTTTACTTTCTGTTTCGGCCGAAAGTAATTTTTTACTTTCGGTCTGATTTCGGTTTCGGTCGAAACCAGAAATTCAGTTTCGGTCGGCCTCTAGTGCTGGGTTTGATTCCCGACTCGTGCGCCATTCTGCGTGAAGTCTGTATGTTCTACCCATGTTCTGCAGAGTGTGTGCAGTTTGTATGTCCCCTCTCTTCTCTGCAGAGTGTGCGAGTGTGAGCGATTGCATGCGAGAGGGTGTGGAACAGCAACGTCACCCCCTAACCGGGCGGTAGTGGGAGTGGGTATCCACGTGGCTATCCACGTGGCCTATAACCCAGCGCTGTGGAGCAGCAGCGGCGAGGGTTCGTGTATCGCACAGAGATGTTGCGAAACTCTCTTCCCGTGGGTGACGCAGAGGAGGAAGTCTTGCCCCGGCTTTGCCAGGAGAAGGCATTCCAGCAAAAATATCGACTCCACCTGTTTCATCTGTGTGGGATAGAGTGTTTCCCCCCCTCGCATGCGTGGATTGCGCCGTATGCTTCGGTTTCCTCGCACACGTAAACGCTCGTTAATTGGTGGAACAGGACCCTGTGGGGTGGGCTGGTAGGACCGAACAATTGAATGGCTATAATAAATGAAATGGCAAAAAATGGCTGCCAATAAGTGGATGCCCTGTGGCCCCGCCCTCCACCCCGCGTAACCCCGCCCCGGCCACCTGTGGCCCCGCCCCATCTCGGTGTCCCCGCCCCCAACTCGTTGCCCCGCCCCTTACCACCGTAACCCCACCCCAACCCCGCGTAGCCCGCGCTCCACCTCGTGCCCACGCCCCCTGCCGCCGTTGCCCTGCCCAGCCCCGCGTAGCCCCGCCCCCGGCCGCTGTAGCCCCGCCCAATACACCCCGAGCGGGGGAGAGATTCCCAGGCCTGGCTCGGCTGGAGAGCCGCCGACGAGGGGGGGTGTAGGGAGTTGTTTTTAATGTAAAAGCTTTAAATGTAAATGTTTCTATGAAAAAACATCAGGGAATGTAACATTGTTAAACATTAACTCCCTTTCACACACGCGGGGGTACGATACGAAGGGAGAGTTTGAGGCCTAGGTCTAGGCTTTAGGCCTAGCTGTAGGCCTTAGGCCGCCGTGAGTTAATTTTAAAATATAAATGTTTTAATTATTTATGTAAAAGCTTAAAATGTAAATGTTTCTATTAAAAAACATGAGGGAATGTAACATTGTTAAACATTAACTCCCTTTCACACACGCGGGGGTACGATACGAAGGGAGAGTTTCAGGCCTAGGTCTCGGTTTTTGTAGGGTCATGCCAAATGTTTGCAGTAGGGGGCGATGTTGCTACACGGACGGACGGACAAACGGACGGACGATATAATCTATTGGTGGCTGGTCCACTTCATTCCTACCAGTATAACACCTTCATAAATAGAGGACCGCAGACCCTAAGCAATTGTTGGCACCGGCTCATCGCGTGGCCGCCTTCCCTCCTCGCACCTCAAAGTCTTCAAGAGAGAGAGAAGAACTTCGTGGTGGCGGCAACGCAGCACTACGAGCCGAAATCGGTATCATTGTCGCAAACACGTGGCAGGAACCTCCTGCACAGGGAGTCTTGAGGCTCAGCGAGGCGTTGCTGGGCGAAGAGGAGGGGTGACCGTGAGGGCGGCGCGAGGGCCGGAGAACGGTGCCCCACCTTGATCATCTCGGGGCTGGCCTCCGTCTCGCCCGTCAGCAGGTTCTTCGTCTTGAGGAAGCGACGCTTCTTGTACTTGTTCAGCACTGCGCACGCGTCGTCACACGTGGCATCGTCACACACACCGTCACACGCTAAACACACACCGTCACACGCTAAACACACGGCGTCGCGCTGGACACGCTAAACACAAGGGGTCACACAGCACACGCTAAACACACACCGTCACACTGCACACGCTAAACACACGGCGTCGCACTGCACACGCTAAACACATGGCGTCATACGTGGCATCGTCACACACACCGTTACACTGCACATGCTAAACACATGGCGTCACACTGCACAAAGCTAAACACATGGCGTCACACTGCACATGCTAAACACATGGGGTCACACACGTCATCCCACACGGCGTCACATTCCACACGCTAAACAAGCGGCATCACACACAGCGTACCATACGTCACAGTGTCACGGCACACACAGCATCACAAATAGCGCACGCACACATACAGCAAACACAGCGTCACATATTGTCACACACCTTACTGTGTCACACAGCAGAATGCAAGACGCAGAGCAAACACTCTGGACTCCGCCTTGAATGAGTAACTGGTGCGACGTGCAAAATATCACCAATGGGGAGACAAAGGGAGCTGGGAGTGGTGCGGACCACCCACTCCTTTGTGTGCAGTGCGGGCCCTCATAGGTGCCCGCTCACAGCACTTGCCCCAAAAGTCTGTTGGGGCTATCCGGGGGATCTTTGTGTTTGTCTGTCTCGTACGTACTGCGGGAGATGTGCGTGGTGGCGAGGCGCCGGTACTCCTCCTTGCGCGCGGGGTCGGGGTGGTGACCGCTCTTAGTGAAGAAGATGTGGATGTAGATGGAGCCGTTGTTCTGTACGTTCTGTACACCGCAACCACCACCACCACCACCACGATCACAACTACCACCGCAAACCACCACCATCACAATCCCAACTATCATCATGATCGCAACTACCACCGCAACCACCGTCAACACCACCACAACTACAACCACCACCATCACGATCCTATCACCACAACCACCACCATTGTGATCAGAACTACCACCACAACCACCACGATCACAGTATTACCACTATCACCACAACTACCAATACCACCACAATCAAAATATCACCAACTACCACCGATACCAAGTTCAACTCTCATCATACCACCACGTCCACCGCTATCACTGTGAACACCACAACCACCGTTATCACTTCCGTCACCATAACCGCCGCTACTTCCGCAACGTGAACGAGGGGGTGAGTGGGCGGGCGAGTGAGCGGATATGTGAGTGGGAGTGGGCGAGTATATGGGTGAGCAGGCGGGCGAGTGGGCGAGTAAATGGGCGAGTGAAGGGGTGAGCGGGTGGGCAAGTGGACGGTTATGAGTGTGGGTGACCAAGTGTGCGAGCGAGCGCGGTGGTGAGAGCGCGGTGGTGAGAGCGCGGTGGTGAGAGCGCGGTGGTGAGAGCGCGGTGGTGAGAGCGTGCCTCTGAGATGTTGATCTCGTGGGAGCTGGAGAAGGAGCCGTCCCCGTTGGGACCCGAGGCCCAGTCCCCGTAGCCAAGGTCCAGCAACTCCCACACGAGCACCGAGCTGTCGTTAAACTGCGTGAACAGCTCCTGCTCCGACACGTACACGCGCATGTCCTGCACGCACAGACACACGTCGCAACGTCACGCGACCACCATCGCGCACACAAGCACACGTACATGCAGGTGTCTTGCACACGAGCGTATTCAACACAAGCGCGTGGCGACATCACGCAATCGCCAACATGCGCACGCACACGCGTGTCGAGCGTGCAACACACATCACTCCGTCGGTTTGCTGTCGTCAGACAGCGGAGAGTCAGTCGACCATTGTCTAGCGCAGTGGTTCTTAACTTGGGGTGCAAGCACCCACCGGGGGTGCGAGATGCCATTTAAGAAAACCAAAGGGATGCAGGCTCCCGTAAAGGTTAAGAACCACTGGTCTAGAGAGACACGGAGTCGGCCATCCATCCCTTCTGGGAAAGGGTGAGGGTGAGGCCATGACTGCACATAGGGGAGGGGGCACGTTGGAGGAGGGGGGGGGCTGTATGTGCGTGCGCGTGTCCGCACCATGAGCTGAGAGCACTGATACAATGGTTAGCGCACTGTGCTACGAATTCGCCGAGTCTATGTTCGATTCCCACTCGTGGTAGACATGGCGGTGGCGAATATCCGAATTGCTGCTAGACCTCCTCGAGGTCGACACCAGCCTTAAACAAGTCCCCGGTGCAGTGGGTAAATATTAGCGCTGAGGAAGACAAAGGCGGCCGGGTACGCACGCCACCCCCTCGCAGATGGGTGCGCTTTGCCCCAGCGGCGTGCGCGGGCTACCCGTGGAGACCCTTTGTCTGTGTGCGTCGCGTACCATAAGCGTGTCCTTGGGAAATAGGTTGCGGCTGGGCGGTCGCATCACAGCCGCCTCCCCAGGTGCAGCCCCCTCCTGCGGCGCCGATCCCCGGCGGAACCAACTGCTGATCACCCAGATGATGAAGATTCTGACGGAGCGGCAAAAGCAGAAGCAGCAGCAGAATTGGTTACAAGATGTACGCTCTGCATCAGATAGGTCACCGAGTATTCTTATTAAAAACACGTAATCACGCCGCACTCATCGTCGTAGATACGCCTCAACGCGTTCACAGTGCGGACGGGAGAGAGCGCGTGCCCGCGGGGCGACTGGGCAGGCACGCTGACCACCCTGGCAGAGGCTGGGGGATCGTGGGGTGGGGGGGAAGCAACAGTGGGGGGGGGGGCACGGCTATGGAAAAGGAGGGCGATCCGCGAGGCCTACCGGAAGAGCACGCCCTTGATGACCTGCCACGCATTGGGCTGCGGTGGTGGCGGCGGCGGCTGCTGCTGGTTGTTGCTGTCGTTCGCCGCCGGCTCCACGGCGCCGTCGGCCTGGCCGCCGTCCACCAGCGCGACCTGCGTGCGTTCACACGGCACCGGCTCGGTCTTAATCCTCGTCAGCGTCGTCGTCAGCATCATCGTCCACGCTCACAGAACACGTCCAAGTCAGAGTGATTGCCCACTACTCAAATGAGCCACATCGAGGCGTTGATGCTCATGTCCCGTTTACAAGTCTGCAGGGCCAGTGATGGGAAATTCCACATTCCTATGGCACGTGCAGGTATTTTTGTTACATTTTTTAACAACTTTGCTGAGCACAGGTCCAAAAGCCCAAAACGTCAAGCAGCCGGCACGCTTTGAAATCGAGCAAGGTTATTGTTGTTGTTGTTGTTACGAGAGCTTGTGGGAAAATAAGACGACGATGTGAGCAGTGCTAGGAAAGAAGGAGGAGAAGCGAGGTGACCTGCAGTGTGGCGGGTGGGTGAGTGGGTGGGTGAGTGGGTGGGTGAGTGAATGAGTGGGTGGGTGAGTGGGTGGGTTAGTGAATGAGTGGGTGGATGAGTGGGTGGGTGAGTGAATGAGTGGGTGGGTGAGTGGGTGGGTCAGTGAGTGGGTGAGTGAACGAACGAGCGAGCGAGCGAGCGGATGGGCGAGTTAGTTCGTGTTGAGCAAATTGCCGAAGAGGTGAGCAAATTAGTGAGCGAGCGAATGAGTGGGCAGATCAGAACTGCCTCACACGCGCACACACACTAACATGCACATATTAAACACACAAACAAATCATCGGATTATAAGATGCACAACGACATCTTTATTATATGGAGGGGGCAAAAGTGTGCCTCAAAATCCGGTGAAGACGGTTTTGCCATTGCACCACCACTGGGTGTGCAGCAGCGGTGTTGAAACGGTTCGAGCACTGCGCTTCGAGCCCAGTGATCCAAGTTCGATTCCCGGCCCTGTTCAGATGGCGGTACAATAACAGACTGGCCCAATCTGTGTGCAGCGTTCATGGTCACCCATTGCATGGGTCTTCTCCATACAAGACACCTGCCACGGTGGGAAAATCGTTCGCAGCACGCTGTGACTTCTAGCAATCGCCGGTTCGATTCCATCTCCCGGCGTGGCGGTTGAAACGATGGCACGGGTTAGTTAGCTCCTCCCCACCAACTCCGTCTGCCCAGCAGCGTGAACGGGTTTCACCGCGGTCAGTTCATCGTCCGGTTGCTTGTGGTAGGGTAAAGTTTTGGGTTACGCCCACCTCCTCCGACGTGCCTGGGTCAACGTGCAAGAGTAAGGCCAAGAGCCCACGACAGCCTGCTCTCGCAGAGAGCCTCTTCTGCCGGCAGTGGTGCGAGTAGAAATTGCAGGGCCGCACCTTTGGCTGGCGTTTCCGCTTACGCGAGGCCAAACATCAAGACCACAGAGCTTACGCGAATGAAAATAACTCGACACCCACAGTTCCTCGAACACTCAACTCGCCGCACGTACACACGCACTCGCTCACTGACACGCACGAGTAGATCCGGGGAGAGATAATGAGATCACGAAGACACCCACCCCCCTCCCAACCTCAACTCGAAGCGAGTGGCACATTCCGTAACGGGGATATCGCCGGTGCGAACGCAGGACTCGTTCCATCCTGTGCGGCAGCGGGGGCGGCGGTGGGGTAGCGAGAGGAGTTCGGACAGCTGCTGTTGCTGTGGTGTCTGGGTCAGGCCCAGCTCAGTCCGGCCCAGGAATGGACGTTCACATAGGAACCAGAGGGAACCGCACCGCCGCTCGGAGACGACCGCCGAGAACACGTCTCGCTCGCCACAGCAGCATGCATGCATGCATGCACGCACACACGTACATCTGCGTGCCGGGTGGCCTCCACTGACATCAAGTCGTCCGCTTCAAGGCAGGTCCCTTGGCTCGAGCTCTCTCCATCTTGTCCGATCACGAGCTTCCTTCTTCATAACGCTGCGCGGCCCCCCTCTCTCCCTTCGTGTCGTCGAGCAGCGTCCGTCACGCCGTGCGGGGAGGCCTCTTTCCCAACATCCCAGAACAACGCTTCGGCAGGAAGTCTCGTCACCAAGCTCTGAACCGCTCAGAATGCGGCGGGTGTGCGCACAGATTCACGTCCCGTTCCTTTCCCGTTCCGATGACGTACGCGCTCATGCTTACGGACGCGTGAGTCATCGGTTTTTCTTCCGATTCCGTTCCAATGACGTGCGTGCACATTATCAAAAAACAAAATCCGGGAGAAAAACTTAAATAGATAACTTTATCGGTACCGAGGTTCCCACAAGGCCACGCGGCAGGGCGCGAGTGGCAGTGTTAGCGCAAGCTGCCGTAGGGCGCGGCGGTGTGATGCTGGGATGTCGACGATGCATTCAGGTCTACGTGCGTGTCAAACCATTGTACAAATAACCAATATCAGCTATATATATATAAATCATTAATTACCTTTAAGTTTAAACCCCAAGTGCATAATTCTGTGGGGCTATTTCGTGGAAAGCAGAGCACCGTGCGGAAAATCCAATGTTGTACTGTACTCTGCTCCCACACCTATGTTCCCTGCACTGACAAGAGTGATGCGTGGTCAAGGGACCACCACGGCCCGCACTGTGTGGGGAGGGGCCCTCATCCAGCAGCGGAGGGACTAAGGGCCGTGCGGCGTGTACGGTTATTGTTATTCTGGTGATTGTCACTTTCTGGCCGAGGTTGCATCATTCGCGGAACTGCCGAGCAGTGACGCTCGCTGCCAACCGCTCCCTTCTCATCTCACTCCACTCCGCTCCACGCACTCCCCTACTTCTCCCTTGTCATCTCACTCCGCTCCATGCACTCCCCTACCTCTCCCTTCTCATCTCACTCCACTCCCTCTCCTACCTCTCCCTTCTCATCTCACTCCACTCCCTCTCCTACCTCTCCCTTCTCATCTCACTCCGCTCCATGCACTCCCCTACCTCTCCCTTCTCATCTCACTCCACGCACTCCCCTACCTCTCCCTTGTCATCTCACTCCACTACCTCTCCCTTGTCATCTCACTCCACTCCACGCACTCTCCTACCTCTCCCTTCTCATCTCACTCCACTCCCTCTCCTACCTCTCCCTTGTCATCTCACTCCACTCCATGCACTCCACTACCTCTCCCTTGTCATCTCACTCCACTCCACGCACTCTCCTACCTCTCCCTTGTCATCTCACTCCACTCCATGCACTCCCCTACCTCTCCCTTGTCATCTCACTCCACTCCCTCTCCTACTTCTCCCTTCTCATCTCACTCCACTCCGCTCCACTCCCTCTCCTACCTCTCCCTTCTCATCTCACTCCACTCCCTCTCCTACCTCTCCCTTGTCATCTCACTCCACTCCCTCCTCCCTCTCCTACTTCTCCCTTGTTATCTCACTCCGCTCCACTCCATGCACTCCCCTACCTCTCCCCTCTCATCTCACTATTCCCCTCCACACCCTCTCCTACCTCTCCCCTCTCATTTTACTCTACTCCACTCAACTCTACACTCTGCTCCACAAACCAAGTCTTTCTGTCGAATCCCCCTGTCAACCTTCGCTCAGTGGGACATCACCCATTCATTCTACTCCACGACCCCCAAGGTCTGGAACTCCTTTCCCCCAGCCGTCCGTGCTGCTGATGGCTCCCTGGCCCTGTTCAAGTCCAGGCTCAAGACCTTCCACCGCATCTCTCTGCCTGTAAAATAAACGTACCCCCCCCCCCCCATTTCTGCACAGCGCCTTGAAACGCAGCCGTATCCCGACGCTCCGTCAATCCCCAATGCAAATTGTGACGTGCGACGGGTGCTCAGCGCAGCTGTAACCGTGGGCGTGATCCCTGCGGGAGTGCGGGTGTTCTATTTTCAGCTCTCTCATTTTCTGAGCCGCAGGTGGCATGGATATATATATTTTAACACAGTTGCTGAGCACAGGCCCAAAGGTTCAAAATGTCGCGAGACCAGCGACTAACTGCAACTATCAAAGTTGTCGTCTATAACACGGGTTTTTCTTTTTATTGAGCGAGGTCGCCATTATTATTATTATTATAATAAGGGTTTGGAAGAGAGACAATGGGAGGGTATGAAAGACACGGAAGCGCGTATCCATGAACAACCGCCCTCTCTACCCAATCGGATTCACACGACAGAGCGAGTGGGAACCATGGAGGCCACGTTAACGCAATCTTAACGTGTGCCTGCTCGCCATCGCCAGCAGGGTCAGCGACACAACATCGCCTGCTGCCCTGTGCCCACCAAGCCGCTTTTGCTTTCGGTCATCCACCGGATCTCCCTACGCTGGCCACCCCGCACGGCAGCAGTAGCGCCACTCAACCTCCCCCTCTTTACGTCGAGGGCCAGGAGCATGGTCACTGCTGGGCGTCGTTTCTCTGTCTGGAACGCGGCCATCACCACCTCCGTCATCATCGTTGTCGTCCCGCTGCTGCTGCTGCACATTCATAGCAGCAGCAGCAGCAGCAAAGTTGGTGGCAGCCCCAACAGTCTGGAACGATATCCCTCTGCACATTCGCAGCATCACCTCAATCGCCTCCTTCAAGAGACACTTAAAAACTCACCTCGACAATCATGCTTTCGAGCGACTCTGAGCTTGTCTCCGCACCTCTGAGTTGCGGCCACTACGTCTATTATTATTATTAAAGTTCAATCCGCACCAACTTCTTAAGAGACACTGAAAAGGGCCTCACCCTCTCTCGCCTGGCTTTCAAGCGACGCCGAGCTCAGCTCCGTATCTTTTGACGATCCTTAACATCTGTGAAATACTGTGAACGTTACCACTTGCATTATTACCATCTCTTGCATTTACAGCAAGTACATACGACCTGTGCAGTACGAGCTATATGTTTATTTATCATTCTATACATTAACATTCTATTAATTAAAATTTTAAATAATAAACAAGCTTTTTTCAGTTCACTTGTAGATAAAGCACTCCCAATGCCATGTTGGTCATGGAATTGTTCGACCACACTTCAACAAGCTGGTCAGTGCTGGAAGTTTAGGCGTGGGAGCACAGAAGTACGGTACAACAAATCTTGCTACACCAGCATCTGCTGTCCGATAT